ATTTTATGACAGAGTGAATAACAGAAAATTAATAAGATAAAATTTTTTATAAAATATTTTTATAATAATAATAATTAATAATAATGTATCATATAACAATAATTTATTTTTGTGTTTTTAGTATTTTATTTTGATTAACATTTATTTTATTTCAAGTAGAGAAAATGTTTCTTATGGGTTTAGTTTTAGTTAACTATAATAACATTGTTTAGCATAAATTAAGCTGTCTAACTTATATTTAGCATGAATTAAATACAAATATTTGTTTTTCGTGCGCATGCGCGTGCCTCAAAAGGGGGCTTACAATGACTTACAAAGATACATAACAGCTACAAGTGTATGCACTATTTGCTTTAAGCAAGCACTATATAGGACAAATCACTATACAGGATTTACCCTATTATACTTTATCAACACGAATTGATCGGTGAAACAACAAACAGCCACCCACAAATAGTCTATAAACAAAGCATCAGGCTGTCTTTGAGTTCACATGAACAACGGTTAAAGTTACACATTGTCAGGCTACAGAAGAATACCATAATTCCTCCGTTCAGTTAGGCCTACGACATCGAGAGTCCCGCAGACCTATAACACCCCAGCCACAACACATAATTGCGAATAACATGCCTTACCTAAACACAGAATCGAGCACAGAGTCCAGCGATTATATTTTTTCTACGAATCTTTGAGTTAACGTACTAAACATGAGTGGAATTTGCACCGCAGCGCACCACAGCTTGATGCTCTTATCTTTATTGAAGTGAATTAGGTTTAAATCGCCGTCATGCATGAATGAATGATATTTTTGCAATTTTACACATAATAATCCACAATGATCACATTACACAAAACTGAAATTGCACGTCAAAAGAACACATTGTCAATACTTTTTGAGACCCCCCAAAATTTCACAAATCAGGTTTTCAGGGGAGCCCATGTCTTATTAAGGGGAGCCAGCTCCCCCTAGCTCCCCCGTAGTTTGCACCCTGTAACTGTGTGTTTATTTACAATACAGCATGGCTATGAAGCTTCACCGAACATATCAACAATCAGTCATCTGTAAAGCCCTTACATTATGATTTTCAGCAAAAGTAGCTGGCTGTTAAGTGCATACTTAAGCGAATCGGGATGGGGTCCTATTATGCTCTTTTACAAAGTCTTGATTGTGTTTTGGGGGTGTACTAGAACATGCTCTCATGCTTGCTGGTTCGAAAAACACATTATTTTTCACATATTTTACATTATTAAAATACCTTTCTCCCCCTGTTGAAAAAAACAGGTAGGTTAGATATGTTTTGACGCTGGCCAGGGCTGGACTGGGACAATACATCGGCCCTGGTATTTGTTTTGGTCCAGGCGGCCCATCACCACTTCGATATATATATATATACACTATACCAGTCAAAAGTTTTTGAACAGTAATATTTGTTATGTTTTTTAAAGAAGTCTCATCTGCTCACCAAGCCTGCATTTATTTGATCCAAAATTCAGCAAAAGCAGTAAATATTTTTATTATTTAAAATAACTGTTTTCTCTGTGAATATGTGTTAAACTGTAATGTATTTCTGTGATACGCAGCTGTATTTTCAGCATCATTCCTCCAGTCTTCAGTGTCACATGATCTTCAGAAATCAGTATAATATGCTGATCTGCTGCTCAAGAAACATTTCTGATTATTATTATTATTATTATGATGTTGAAAACAGCTGAGTAGATTTTTTTCAGGTGTCTTTGATGAATAGAAAGTTCAGAAGAACAGCATTTATCTGAAATATATATTTTTTGTAACATTATAAATGTCTTTATCGTCACTTTTGATCAGTTAAAAGCATCCTTGCTAAATAAAAGTGTTAATTTCTATCATTTCCCAAAAAAATTTAAATGAAATAATAAATAAAATAAAATAAAAATTCTGACTCCAATCTTTTGAATGGTATATGTATAATGTTACAAAAGCTTTTTATTTCAGATAAATGCTGATCTTTGGATCTGTCTTACTGTTCAAAGCATGTTGACTGGTAGTGTATGTATGTAGCCTATGTATCACACTCATATCACATCTTGTTTTGGATAAGAATAAAACGTCAGGTCCGACAATATCGTGTCTTTTTTTATTTAAATCTAGCTTTATTCGCATTGGCCCATGGAAACCTCTATGAACACACTTGACTTGATGCGTGATGGTCCTCGGCAAAAAAAAACATTCTGTCGGCCCCTTCGGCCCACCGGGAAAATGCCCGGTATGCCCGATTACCAATCCAGCCCTGACGCTGGGATTATGCTGGTCCTTTGCTGGTTTATGCTGGTCCTTTTTCATAATTGTAACATACATATTTACATACATAATTATTCAGGTGCACGTGTAATAACTTGTGAAAACTTGAGGCTACGACAGCACTTCTTCTTCGTCGTCGTCTTGTCTGATGCACCACAGCCTCGCCCCTCCCCACCCCCCAACCATTCGAATCTCTGTAGGCGGGAATTATTTTAATGATATTCTAATGAGCTGTTTTGTGATATCACAAAGCCCGGAAACCAACGCTGTAGTCCAAACGAGCCGTTCGTTGTAGTTCTTGAAAAGGGATTTAAAAAAAACAAAACATCTCCCTTTGGAATGGACTTTGAGATTTGTAACTGTCTAGATCTTTTTTTATCCCCAAACATATACACTACACACTGACTAAAATTAAAAAAGTGAAAAAGCATAATAGGACCCCTTTAAAGAACTACTGTCAGGATTTACTAAAGAAACGTGTGGGAAATTAGCACTGAAAAGGCCTGAACACAGTTATTTTTGCGACTCTATGGCAAGCCGTTTTAGCTTAAAATAATCCCAGTGTTACTCGTCCTAATTGCATTTTTCTTGTAACAATTTCAGTTAGAGAGCTCTACAAATGACTTTTTACTAGTCATATATTTCCATTGACTTCCATTCATTTTTAATTAGAGAACTCTACGATTGAAATTGTACTAGTAAATATTACAATAGAATATTTTAAGCTGAAAAGGCTTGCCATACATACGACTCACCTTATTGAATATGCGTTTGTAGGAGTTTCTTTGTCGATTGGTAAATTTATGGGAGGAGACTATTTAAATGAATCATGCAACGCTAAGATTTGCGCTAATCAATTCACAGGTATTTGCGGCATTATTTAACGCATCTTAAAACAGGTGGTAATTTGTGCTGCTCTTGGTGGATTGCGCTGGTCATTAAAATGTGTTCTTTTAATCTATGTCATTTTTTAGACTAAATAATGTTTACGTTGTGTTGACGGTAAAAATTCACCTTGAAGCGTGCACTTTAGATGCCCGGATAATGCTTAATTAACCAAAACAAAAAACACTTCAAGCATGCAACTGTAGCAGCTTTAATTAGATGCTGTAGGGGGAGGAGCTATCAGAGTGATGATGAATGATGAAATAACTTATACTGTCATTCATACACTAGACCAGGGGTCAGCAAACTTCTGAGCATGAAGAGACATTTTTAATGCTTCTAGTTAACCACTGTGCCAGTAAGCCCCTCCTCCACACCCCACCTCACCTCCACCTTTTTAAATGCATGCCGCACATATAGAGCAGGCCTTTTCAAATGATGGGCCAAATCCAGCCCTCGGTTGAGCAGTAGCACCCCGGCCCTGGGGACAGATTCATCTTTCTGCCATAGCGTTGGCCTTTTTAAAACACAATTCAATATTTTAAACTTTGCAAAACCTTTCAAACAATGACAATTGAAAATCTGTTAAAGAATGTAATAGAAAAGGAAAACAACCTCAGTTTTAGTTGTTCATCAGAGAAAACATCTTTAAAAGCTTGGAACGGTTAATAACTGCTTAATGAAATCAGAAAAGACAAAATAAATGTTACTGTAAACTTCACAAATGTAGACCGCTTCCTCATGTTTGACTGTTGTTCGGTGTGACTCTAATGAAGCTGTTTATGTGGTGGTCAGCGATGTAGAGTTAAAACAACATTCATCCATATTTTAGTAATTTTGTCAAAGATTACATGCCTATCAAAAGATTATAACAAAGTGTAAACATGATGTAAAAGCGATTCATTGTGTAGAAATAATTTATTTTAATTATAAAGGAACTTCGTAATTGACAGTTAGTTAGTACCTAATTATAAATGGAGCGTTCTTTGTGCCATAACAATATATGGAATAAAAATAGATGTCAAAATAGATTTTGTATATTTATTTATTCATATATATGACATGTCTCCACCACTTTTTGAAAGCCTTTGAAACAATATAACATGCAGAAGAAGCATCTCCAAACAAGTCGTTCGTCATAATTTAATTCATTCATGTAACATAAAATACATTTGC